ACCAAAAACATCCCTACTTTCAAGCGATTTTTGTTCAGGACATACAGATGCAGGGACATCGGCAACCACGTCCAAACGGACACCAACCCACTGGCCGTGCCAGCGAATACGAATCGAGCTCACCTGATAACTTTGATTTCAACAGCATGCAACATCCTGCTTTTCGCCAAAATCTCCATCAACCCGCATACGAAAGCTGGTACGATGAGAATGACTATATTGATGCTTACGCCGAAGATCCACAATCCTGGCCATTGTCCGCTCATACATCTACTGATCGACATGAAGCATGGTCTCCTGACGACGATCGAGATGTCTCCCATCGTCAGCAAAACTTGCACCAAAACAATCAGTACGAGCCACGTTTACGGCCACGACCGCAGCAACAGACGCCCCCAACACAAGCCCATCACGGTTCAGGCCAGTGGACGGGAGATGGGTACAATGTACCGCAGCCATTCTACGACCAAGAGTTCCTCCAAGCACCCCCTCCAGCAGCACAGATGCTACCCCCCTTTGGACGTAACAACCAACGAATGCCGCTTGGTCCTCCGCCTTCAGCACGTAGAGGGCCAGCTTCGTATTATGCGCACGCCGCACCTGTCCATCCAATCTTCGAAGAGGCCGAAAGTGCGAGGGGCAGCGTCCGAGACGGTGCACACAGCTCATATGCCAGCAGCAATGCAATTCCAATAGGTGTACCGGAATATTATCTGACCCACGGGGAAACGCAAGACCGCCAGGCACCTACCAGACCGGCAACGGAAGCTGACGATCAAAGCCCTTACGCTCACGCAGATCAGACAAGAGACTACAGATTCGAGGGTGATCCTAGCAGATACGATCCAAGTCCAGAGCCAGCACCCATAGTCAGACAAGCCAGCCTTGGTAAGAGGAGTAAGCCTACATTGACAACTGTACAGAGTTCGGAGAAGATGCGGAACAACAGTTCGTCAAACGAGAGCGGGAGACCTTCACTCCCCAGCCAAAAACGGCGGCCAAGCCCAGCAAAACCATCAGAACGGGTATATGCGCAGGACGTTCACTTGCCTGCTGGCAATGATGGAGGAGCGGAACACGGGCGAGATGCGCGAGATATGTACTATAATTACCAAAGCCACGAAGGCCATGCAGTCGCCGACAGCCCACGGTCATATAAGTCGCAAGACACGTGGTCACACGCTTCGGATGAGAAAGCACTCGAAGATGCGCTTAGTGCCAGTCGACAGCAGCCAAAGCACCTCAGACCGTATAATTCAACCGAGAGCTTCAACCGCACTCCCAGTAGTGAAGTCTTTGCAGACGCACCCGTGTTTGATCAATCCCCCACATCAGATTTTGAGGGGGAGAAGCTTTCGCAAGCAGTGCGGCCAACAAGTGTCAGCAACAAGCTAAGCCCTCATCATGGCCAACAATCACGCACAAGGGCCCGATCTCCCCTTGCCAAACATATGCGTGAATCCGATATTCGGAAAAGCCTTGAGGCTGGCGGCGCGCTTGAAATGACAGAGACACGGTCTGGACATCTTAAAGCACCTACGCCAGGCATGTCAGAGCGTGTAGGTAGACAGCGGCCACCTACCCTCGACATGTCAAAGCTCAAGGATGCAGAAGCTCGTGGTTCTCTCACCAGCCTTCCTGATCTGATTAAGCGGAACATGCGCCTGGCTTCTAACCTGGACCGTGGTAGGACCGTCTCAAGGCTTGGACTAGAATGGTTCACATCTGATGGTAACAAGTCCAACGCGAGGAAGTCTGCTGGTAGTCTATCAGACATATTGTCTAGCTTTCCAGCTCCTGGAGCACAAACCCCAACTGGCGGTAGGCTAAACCCGCACGGCTCATTCGCGAGCTTTAACAAGGGCAACCTTCGGCACTCCACCCTACCAAGTGACAGCGACGCACCAGATGGCAGAACTCCACAACGACGATGCTGCGGTATGCCACTCTGGCTCTTCTTAATCATGCTGCTCGTGCTCTTCTTGCTTGTAGCAGCAGCAGTAGTCGTACCTGTGATGTTGCTAGTGGTGGTACCAGACATGGACAACAGCTCATCCGCGCCTGGCTCGGATTGCCAGACTCAGCTCCAGTGTCACAATGGCGGTACTGGGATCGTCGGTCAAGACGGCAACTGCCGATGTCTCTGTGTGAATGGGTACACTGGCGATAGTTGTAATCAAAGCTCGGCTGCGAGATGCACGACCACCACTGTGGGTTCAGTTGATGACGCAACAGTCGGTGACGCCATTCCAAGGCTTCTTCAGCTTGCTAATAGCGACTTTGGCATTCCGCTAGACGGTAGCACATTGTTAGGCCTTTTCTCCAGCAACGATCTCAGCTGTAATACCGAGAACTCGCTTGTGACATTCAACGGGGCAAGCGTAGGGAAGCGATCTACTCAAGATAGTAGCAGACGCAGTTCAACACTGGCGCGACGACAGACCTCGACAGAAAGTCCCAATAGCCAAGCAACAAGCAATGGCATCGTCTACCAGACGGGATCGCCAACAAGTAGTTCAGACACCAGCGCAAGTACTTCGTCTTCGTCTCCAAGCTCCCAGTCGAGTTCAGCAAATGACTCTTCTGATACCAGAGACTTTGCGCGTACTGTCGTTCTGTACATATTCCAGGTCTCCGGCGAGCTGAGCAGTGCGTCAAGTGCACAAAGCAATTTGCAATATTATTTCTCAAATGGTCAGTCGGCAGATGGCCAGCAACTTGACCCAACTAACGTCCAACTGGACAATGGCTATCACTGCAACCTGGATGCATTTTCTTTGACTTTGGCGAATGGTACCACTGTCGGAGAGCAATCTGCAGGCAAGAAATGGGTTCTGGGGTGAACTTATCTCTTTCTTTGTGAATCTGTGTGTTGGAATTTATTTTCCAGGGCCCTGGTACGCTCTCTGGTGTTTCCGTGTTGTAATGAAACGCAGACGAATGATGGGTTCACAGCCTTGCTGCGGCCACGTCAACAACAAGACGCTTCATTGATATTGACTCCTTGCAACGCACTACTTGCATACTCTTCGAACATTGACCTTCTATACCCTCTCTTTGTTGCCCAGGACTATTTCTTTGGATTCGTAGCATTTTTTCACTCACCAGCCACATTGTAAATCTGAGTGGCAGCTTCTGACCCTTTGCACCCTCAACACCAGAGACCGCGTGTTCAATAGATATCTTCCTTTCACACATGTTTGACTCAGCTGGTCAGGGATACAAATTATCCAGATTCCTGACGACCATCTATGAAGAACTGGATTGATGGGTCAATCATTGATCCCACGCCTTGACCCACAGTAAAGCAAGTTCGCTTCGGTCGTCATGTATCCATAGAGCTTGGCGTTCATTATGTTGTTATCCTTTCACTGACCTTGTCTCAGGTTCATATCGTACGAGAACCACTTTCTGAATGTTTAGGCTCACACCAGTTGGCGAAAATTTGCGCAGGCTGGGTTTAATGTTGCAACCGCCCGTAATCCTTCACCATGTAACACATAGGAATAGCAATGCATCCGAAAATTGCTCTGCTAGCTGTTCCTGTGTGCTACATGGTGAAGGGGCTACCTCGGTTGCTGTTTCTTGCCAAGTAGATTCACGATGCTGCTCCTCATCAACATCATTGAACTCTAACTCTCCCTCCGGTGATCTAAGAATATGTTCGTAACGCTCGGATCAAAAGTGTGTTGGTTATTGGCTACAAGAAGTTAGAAGTGTTCAGACTGTAGAACCTGATGTAATCAGTGGTCTATCATCAGAGCTTGTTTCTAAAGATACATATGATCAAGGCTCTCAGGTGATCAAAGCGACAGATTACTAGTCTCAGCAGATGCAGATGCAGGTGCTCCATGCACAGCAAAACCAAAAGATCATACTGTGAGTCATTATTACTTTGAGAGATGGCTCGACTTGCTACATTGTCCCTGAAACTCGACATGGTAGCTCAAACGATCTGTCTATACGTACATATCTTTCGCTTCTACCAAACTTGTATTGGCATAGCGCTCCCTACAAGATTGGTGGGTCGTCTTGTGCTGACAACGTTGCACCAAAGCTGACTGGAGCCTTTGATTTCCACCGGCATGGTATGGAAGTTCTCTTGTGTTTAGGGTCGCAAGTGTTGTGCGCATTTATACTTGAAAGACGTGTTCCTATATTTCGAGGACACCACGGATTTTGACGGAATCATATCCGGCCTGCGCCTCATTTGCTACTGGGGACTAAAAGAGCTATCTCAGCAGCGAGTATTTGAGGGTTTCTCAATGAAGCGGCTGCAATCTCAATAGTTACATACAAGCCTTGAAGAGGCTGTTTGTGGATGAAGACCTGTAAGAGACCTCCTCTCACGAGGGTTAAACAAAACGCAGAAGACTTCTCATCATTTCAAAGCGGCACCATGCTTACAGGTCAGGACAGTCTGTCGACAGCAAAAATGGTGATTACGTACAAGAAACGAATCAATAGGCTTATTAAGAGAATCTGCAGGAGGTAGAGTATGAGAAATGGCATCTCGACGACAACCGTGATTTGTTGACACAACCAGCCTTTCGTAGAGAGAAGGGCAAACGGTCTCAACCCATAGATATACACAGAGCTTCACCTAGAACAAGCTTGAAATTGGCTATCTAGAAGACAATGATTATGACTGACAGTTCTTCTATAATTCGTAGGTGTTGCGGGATGTTGAGGGACCAGAATCAGGTCAGTTGTCTTTGCTGCTTGTATGTGTCCTCCTACTTTCTCTCTCTAGAATATATTAAGTACCTACGTAAATCATTTCGATACTTTGACTGGATTCACAAGAATCATCCCTACCCGCTCAAGTTCTAAGTATTCTTAATAAGTATCCTACTGCTCTGGAAACAGAAAGGATTGGCAGTGTACAAGCAATCGGCAGTATCATCGAAAACATAACGTTCTGCTGGGTAGTGGCAGCTACCACTTTTCAAACACAACATTATATTTGCGAAAAATGTTCACATATCAACAACCGAACTGGTTTTGTGGTCTAGTGGTATGATTCTCGCTTAGGGCTACCTAAGCACAAAATTTGCGAGAGGTCCCGTGTTCGATCCACGGCAAAACCCATCAAAGTTCATTTTTGCTCCAGCGATGCAAAAATCACACTCATACCCCATGAGTCTTAAATCTGTCGTCCAACCCTAATATGATTGACTAACTTTCCTTGTTGTCAATTCTACGCCAATTGGGTATATGTAGATGCTTCTGAGTGCAGGGGCTTCTGCATAGTAGACCCCGCTTGTTGCTTTTGTAACGCTTGCTATGGGGTTATGTAAAGACACACACAGTGAGGGTTCGAAGGAAAGATTTGCATTTGACATCTACTTTTTTTTTTAAGAATTGGTGTCAAAAATCTTATCAGCAATTGAGACTCATTCTCAATCACCAGGTTTTCTCATGTTTTGTTTTGTTTCTCCATGTAAGAGTTGAATGAAACCAGCTACGTAACGATCTCCCGACTCGAGTCTAGAAAGGCACCACCTCAGTGATAAGCGTACAAAAATTATTTATAACTCTTCACAACTCATCCGCATTGGGCGAGGTGTGCTGCACCAGGTCCCCTTTGTTTGCTCCTGGTAGCGGGTGTTTAGTATAACGAGAAGGAAGTTCGGTAATATAGATATGTTGCATCACCTCTATACTAGTAGATCTAAATAGCTTACTCAAGTTTTTTCTGATGCCGGAAACTAATTATATGAAGAGAGCGCATAGATAAGCCACAGCGATTATGCTTAGTACGAAATCTTTACTACAGTCAACTCTTGGAATTCTGGGAGTGTGAGAATATACATATAGTATCTTGGTGGATTTGGTGAAAGGTGTTACGAGGGCAGATTCATATAATGGGACTAATTTATTCGTAAGCCATTTTGCCTAAATAGACAGAATTTAAGTTGTGCATGCTCAAGATACGTAGTCTTGATATCCTCGCTATTTTATCAGATGTCCAAGTTTTGATACAGTGCCTTCCGGTTTTGAGTTGACATCTTGCAGGTGCGGTGTGGTGACACGTCGACAAGTTGTTAGTTGTGAGAGTAAGTACGGCCCGAAATGAAAGTTTACATAGCAATAAGGTCAATACACGAAAAATTAGATATTGCTTTCTGCCTAGACTATGATTCTTTCCTAGCAAGTCAGCAACGTTGCAGCACATGCTTACATGATCTTGTGCTTTTTTTGCATAAGACTAATTATAGCAACCTCAGTCCCAGATTTAGAACTAAATTTGTCTGCTCCTAAATATTGAAAGACGAAATGACTATGGGACTATAAGTGGCTATCTGTAAAGTCAGAAACACACCGGATTTGGTAAAGCACACATCAGCATATTAAATCAAGCAGAGCTCACAATGCAGGTGTCAATGTGTTACTAATCAAAATTTTGGATATATATACAGTGGATGTGACAAAATGAGAAGAATTTTTTCAAATGGCAGATACCAGTACTGAATGGCCTTCTTTTCAACTATATTGATAGTCACTGCACATGAAATCTTGCTTCTTTTTTACTTAGCTAGAGACACAGCAGGCATACTCGTGAGAAACATACAAAATGCGCATCACGTTAGACTCAACTGTTTGATCCTCTACCTCTCGAAAACACTTGCTTTTTCTTTCTGGTTTAGACACGAGGGAAATATTTGTAGTTTAGCGTCAGACGGAAGCAAGAATATCACTAGAGAGGGTGATTTAATTCAATACAGATGAGTTTGAATGCTTTATCACTTTTTTGACTAGTGGGTGTTAATATGATATATATGTATGTATATCACCAACTTTTCGGGTTCACTATTGTTAGATTTGCTACGTATCATTTGAACAGATATTTGGCTTACAAATGCACTATAATACTGTAGTATTTTGAAGATTGGTCTGTTTTGGCTTGACTTCAATAGCTTTCGCAAGGAAATAGAAAAATTTAGAATAACGATTTTTCTTCAAATTGTTTGCAAATATTTCAATTGAGTTGCTTGTCAATTCGTCATCAGTGGAAGTTGAGCTGCGTTCGAAACGGCCAGACTCGTAAATTCAAGTATTGCATCTTCCAAGCAGACCATTGAGATGCTCGATGTAGATTAGCACGATTAACAATAGTGAAATGACTGAATACTCCATCTATCTACAATTGCTGCGTCATATCTCGTAGCAAGAATGTATAAACATTATTGCTATCAACGTGAAAAGTTGAGAAGTTAGAGTAGCGTAATCGATGTTTTGCATAGAACTGCCTAGTCAGCTTTTCTGTATCTATAGGGGACATATTGGTAATATGGATATTTCGTGGACCGGCTCTCCGAGCCGATTATCATCAGATCCTGCTTTGCGTCTTTCCACCACAGCAGCGGAGTTTAGGCAACTCAAGCTCAATTCCCAACAACCTATATAGCGAAGTTATCCTCAATGTAACAACTTCATGAGGTCACTCTCGCTGTTGCATTGACTGTAAAGTGTGATTTTAACAATCTTTTTCGTGAGCTTCAAATTCTAGAATACTTTGTTCACTTACTATCATTATCTTGCAAGATATCTTAGACATTCATAGCATTACAGGAAGTGACCATGATGAACGAGTATCATGCAGTACTAAGTGAAAGACGCGCGGGAGGCTCTGCCCTATTATGGGAAGGGCTGAGATTTGTATCAAAAGAAAGAAGAAATATCGCTTCTCTCCGCATTTCAATCATCAAAGAAAAGTGATTGGCTTTTCAATGCACAACCCAATTTATGACATGAACATGCCGTACAAATGTTGTTAATGTATACAGCCACATCGCATCTTATAACCAAGCGTACTTTGGCGAGGGTATTCAAGATGTTCAATAATGTATACGCAAAAGGCGTTGTCTCAGGCAATATAAATTGTTACTGACCTGTGCTCCTCTTGAAAAAGACAAAAAATAAAATCGATGTGTGTTTCTTTAGATTGCTTGTTTCGTTTAATGACAATTCCAGAATACAATCACTATGGCTTATAGATGACGCTACAGCCATTGTTGGCGCCGTTGAATCTAAAGAACTCGGTCATTTTGGGATCCATCATGAATGGTACAGATCAAGAGAATATCACCTATTCCAGCAACGGCACGCACATGATTGCTTTCAGTTGCGGTGTGAAAACATCTAGCTTACAACGAGAAGACAAACCCATCTAAGATGCTTGATATTGTACGGATCTCGCCTGAATGTTACCGACTGTCGAAAGCATACGGGAGCAGGCATCGTAATGATGAGTTGAAAATAAGTCTTTTCTAAAAATTTTATAATCGTTTTATTGGGTGATTATGTAAGTCAGCATAATTATGCTATCGATTGCGGTCGTTACTTTGGTGCTGCAGTTTCGCTCATAAGTAGATTCATACGTAACCACTTATTCACTCGAAGTCAGTACTCACTCTCAAATCTCAACCTCATGATTGGCTTCACTGACCCAGCATTCCACAAAGGTTGAACAAATTTTGTGGGAACTGCGAGCGCTTTGGCAGCCGATTCCTCATTAGGCCAAATCTTTACCTTTAGATTCTTGATAAGACCACGGGTGAAGAGAGCTTCAGCCAGCTGATGTGACACCTTCGACCATTCGAGATTATGGGCCAATGCAAGATAGTACCCTTCGTCACCGCTAGGAATCGGCTCGTTCTGTGAAACTTTCTGAACAATCTGCCGGTAGAGAGCACTCATGTCAGAGACGTGAACTCCAGAGACCCGCTTTAGAACGTATTAGTCGCGGTTTCACTCCCATTACAACACCCGTTACTTACAGTATCTTCCTTGAATCTATATACGGCACCTTGTGCTATGCTTGGCTTAACGTATGCCGGAAGCACTACAGAAAGCTGGTTCCATTTGCCGCTGCCTTTGCCGTCTGGCGGACCTCGTTAGTTTAGAACGTCATCATGTGTCAAAGCTCAAAGACTCACAAACACAAGACGGCACGATGGTGAAGCCGACTACTCCTTGGACTTTGGCATGCTCGATAAAAGAAACGTCGGTCTGTTCTCCGTTAGGAAATGCTGCATGAATCAAGACAAGAGAGGCAAAGTTGAACGCACCTTCCTAATTGCAAAAGAGTCAGCTAAGAGATTCTCGGTCTCGAAGACTGGGCTAGTATCTTTCAATTTCTTCGGCCGGCCAGCCAGTCATCTCATAAAACGCGCTAAGCCCAGACGTCTAAGTCATGATTAGCAAAGTATGGCACGGGTGTCAATGTGTTGACTGACATGGAGGAAAAAGGTTTCCTTCCTACACCTCATCTTTTGTTTGCTCAGTTCATCAATCAGATTGAGTACAGACCTTGGATCTGTGGAGCTCGCACAATGAATTACGACATTGACTATGCATCAATCAGTCGATTTGTCTACAAATCAGCGCGAATTGAAGATTTCTGCACCTTTGCGACTCATTAGGCAGTCGACGACGGTTTCCTTGTCATGCAAATCCAACTGAACGACATCGGCCCCGAGTGCTGCCAGGCCTTGAGCTTGCTCCAGTGATCTAACTGCAGCAGTAATATTGACATTCTTGAAATGCTCGGTGCTGGTAGAAAGGAAATCTGCGACTATGGAACCGCCTCTGCTGTGTTGTCAGTTGGCGTGACGAGGTACGATTGGTGCGTCTTACATGTATCCTGCAGCACCGGTGACAAGAATATTGAGACTCATGATGGATCGTTGCGACCAAGGAGACAACATCACTTGAGATCTAAGGAGTACTGACATAATGAGGATGTATGACATCTTACTCAGACAATGATCCTCTACCTTATATTTGCTACGGAGCCTATCATCGGGGCCAAAATCATCCGTCACCATTGATTCCCGAACACACCCATGTACTAGCCAAGTATCTATCAATCAAAGCATATACGATTGGTGAGATATGATCTGCCAAGAGATAAGATTAGTAATCATCTAAGTCGGCTTTATTCCAGCGCCGTTGCTTTGTCACCGTTGGCGACCAGTCTCAGTTCCGCCCTGCAGATTAGAAATGCAGAACATAGGCTGATCAAAAGAAGCAAAATAGAATTGAGGGAATGACATCTTTCTATAAAGTTTTGTAGTTGTGAAAC